GATGGAAAAAATTTTCTATAATTTATAGAAATGTAACCAAACACCCCCTTATTCAATCGTCCTGTGAAAATAGGTTTCATCTTCCTATTCCGAAAACATAATATGATGATACTTTTATAATACTCTTACTCAATCGTCCTGTGGAAATAGGTTTATCTCCCTATTATGGAAACATAATATTTATGTATTTTTCTTATTTATCATGTTAACACGTCATATTTTAAACATACGTGTACATATCTTGGTGTACGTGTTCATATCTGGTGTTTACTAATATTTTCAGATGTTAAACAGCTCATAAACATTTTATCATAACAGTACAAGGTCGAGAGACTAGCTCGAAAGCTCAACAGTCAAACAAAACATGCACAGGGCCACAGACTGTGTGGCGGTCGACCGCACAAGAACGGCGATCGACCGCGACGGGTTCCAGAGCCTACTCAGGCCTCTGTCCTGCACTCGGTCGACCGCCGCCGCTTGGCGCGGTCGACCGTGGGCTGATATTTTAGATTCTCAATCTGGTTGTGTGTGTCGTGTTCACGCCGTATTTAGGTGATTCAAACATGATTAAAACAACATAAAACTTACATGAGAGCATGTCTACAGTAGATAAAAACTTCTGAAAACAAACTCAACATATATAGCATGATTATTTGCATAAAATTTATATTCAAAACCCTAAGTCACTTCTGAAAACAAACTCAACATATATAGCATGATTATTTGCATAAAATTTATATTCAAAACCCTAAGTCGTGCATAAAAACTCGAAACGAATAACAAATCATCTTTCTTCTGATTAAACCATGTTTTAAATCATTTTCAGATCTTACATACTTCTGTAAATTCGTTCTCAAACTTTTTAACATGGAAAGACATAGTCTTCATACATATAATACAAAAGAATTGACTTTTATTCATAAACTAGTCAATTTGGCTCTATGAAACATGTTAAAAATTCTTCAAAAAACATTTTTAAAACTAGGAGGGGGATTAGCAGAGATGAACTCGCCTAAAACTTGTAGAAAAACATTTTAGGATGCCAAGCCAAAGCAGATCTCCAATCCAAAAGCTAAAATCACCCGAAAAATCCACTTGAAAGCGTCCAATATTCTCTAAGAATCAAATTAGGGTTTATGGGGGTTTGGTAGCTATTAAGATTCTTAGAAAACTGAGAAAATTCGTGAAAATTTGATATATAAACCAGAGAAAACGAATATGGGCTTTAGAAAATCAAAACCAACTCAAAATAAGAATCTGACTTTTGCACGATCGACCGGATTAAAATTTTCCAGTTACACATCTTTGGCCATTGTGCATGTTTCGACTCTTTTCTTTCTCATGAATGAACTTGTTTATACTCAAAACACATGGTGTACTACTCACATACCATTTAACTGTATTTATCAAAATAAATATCCATAAAAATCATAATTAACCTCATATTAATTATATTAACATAAATTTTTAGGATTTTACAGGTGGAGCTCGTTTTCTGCTAACATTGATTGATGATTATTCCAGAAAAGTTTGGGTGTATCTTTTAAAGCATAAGAGTGATGTGTTTGTAACCTTCAAGAAATGAAAGATTATGTTTGCGAAATAAACAGGAAAGAAAGTGAAATGTCTCAGAACCGACAATAGGATGGAGTTTTGTTCCATAGAGTTTGACCAGTTCTGCAAGAATGAAGGTATTGTGCGTCATCGTATAGTTTGGCATACACCATAGCAAAATAGAGTTACAGAAAGGATGAACATAACACTTTTGGAGAGAGCTTGGTGCATGCTCTCTAATGCCGGTTTGTCAAAAGACTTTTGGGCCGAGGCAGTCAATATAGCTTGCTATTTGATAAACAGATCTCCTTCTACAGTAATTGATTTCAAGACTCCAGAAGAGATATGGTCTGGTGCCCCTGCTAATTATTCTCATTTAAGAGTATTTGGTTGCTCTGCTTATTTTCATGTTAATGATGGTAAGCTTGAACCTAGAACAAAGAAAGCTATCTTTCTCGAATATGCTACATGGGTAAATGGATATAGATTGTGGTGTTCTGATCCTAAGTCACCTAAGTTTATTATTAGTAGGGATGTTACTTTTGATTGGATATAGATTGTGGTGTTCTGATCCTAAGTCACCTAAGTTTATTATTAGTAGGGATGTTACTTTTGATGAAAAATCCATGCTTCACCCGAGAAAGAAGTCACCTAAGTTTATTATTAGTAGGGATGTTACTTTTGATGAAAAATCCATGCTTCACCCGAGAAAGGAGTTTGTTATTGACACTACAGGTACTGAAAATGAGTCTATTAAGCAGGTGGAGTTAGAGAGCTCAACTTCAAAGAGAGTGCTTGAGGGCGCTCATGTTGAACCAGTTGATACTGCGGAAGGTTTAACTTTAGATGATGATACACCACAGGAGCAACAGTATAATATTGTCACCAGGAGAACAAAAAGGCAGATTCGACCTCCTCAACGCTATACAGACATGCTTGCTTATGCTTTGAGTATAGCAGAATCGATTGAGGTTCTAGAGCCTTCTACTTATAAGGAGGCTATTAGTGGCAATGAGGTTGCAAATTGGACTGTTGCGATGACTGAAGAGATGGAGTCTCTTCACAAGAACTAGACATGGGAGCTAGTGAAGCCACTAAGGGGACAAAAGATCGTTGGCTGTAAATGGATCTTCAAGAAGAAAGAAGGAACTCCGGATACAGATTCTATAAGGTACAAGGCACGCTTGGTAGCTAAAGGTTACAGTCAAACCGAAGGTGTGGACTTCGATGAAGTATTCTCTCCAGTTGTAAAACACACCTCAATCCGCGTATTGCTTGCCAGTGTTGCTCATTTTAATTTGGAGCTTGAGCAACTTGATGTGAAGACGGCTTTTCTACATGGCGAGCTTGAGGAGCAGATCTTTATGCACCAGCCAGAGGGGTTCATTGTTGAAGGTAAAGAAGACCATGTGTGCAGGTTGAAGAAATCTCTTTATGGGTTAAAACAGTCTCTGAGACAGTAGTATTTGAGATTTGATACTTTCATGTTTGAGCATGGTTACTCTAGGAGTAAATATGATAGTTGTGTTTATCATAAAAAGCTCAATGATGGTTCTTTTGTGCATTTGCTTTTGTATGTTGATGACATGTTGATTGCAGCTAAAGATATGTCAGAAATCAACGAGTTGAAATCTCAACTCAAACATGAGCTTGAGATGAAAGACTTGAGAGCAGCAAAAAAGATTTTAGGGATGGAGATACACAGGATCAGACAAGAAGAAAGTTTATTCCTATCTCAGGAGAAATATATCAAGAGAGTGTTAGAGAGATTTGGCATGCTTGATGTCAAACCTGTGAAGACTCCGCTTGCTACTCATTTTCGTCTTTCAGCAGATTTGTTACCTCTGACTGAGGAGGAGGAGGAGTACATGTCTTGTGTTCCTTATGCGAGTGCAGTTGGAAGCATTATGTATGCGATGGTCTGCACCCGTTCAAATATTTCACATGCAGTCGGTGTTATAAGTCGGTACATGGATAAGCCTGAAAATGTCCATTGGCAGGCTGTGAAATGGATACTTAGATATTTGAGAGGATATGCTAATATTAGTTTGTATTTTGGCAGGAACACAGACTCAGATTGCAGAATACTTGGCTATTCTTATTCAGATTATGTGAGTGATTTGGATAAGAGACGATCCTTGACAGGTTATATATTCACTCTTTTAGATAGTGCCATTAGCTGGAAGGCGACTCTACAGTCGACAGTTGCTTTGTCTACCACAGAGGCAAAGTATATGACAGTGACAGAAGCAGTGAAAGAAGCTATTTGGTTGAGAGGTTTGGTTGAAGATCTCGGCTTACACCAATGTGTTACTACGGTATTTTGTAACAGTCAGAGTGCTATACATTTGACAAATCATCAGATGTATCATGAAAGAACCAAACATATAGATGTCAGGTATCATTTTATCAGAAAAGTTAAAGTCATCAAGATTGAGAAAATTAGTATTGCAGATAATCCAGCAGATATAATGATGAAGTCCGTACCTTCGCGCAAGTTCGAGCTTTGTCTCGAATTGCTTGGAGTTCAACAAAGTGGAGGTTAAGCCCTTAAGGGGCTTCTGGCGAGACAGCAAGAGTAAAGAGAATATCTTCATATTCAAAGTCAAGGTGGGGATTTGTTAAACGTGACTTTGAACCTTCATCTTTTTTTTTCAAAGTTCACCAACTCTTCTGCCTAATTTTTTCACTATTCCAAGAACCTTTTATTAATATTTTATTAATATTCGATGGCTATATAAAAGGGTGTGAGAGAAGGGTTTAAATCATCACTTGGAGAGAAACAAAAATATTTAGAGAGAAGAGAATTAGAGAGAAGAGAGGGAGATAGAAAGAATTTGTCTCTTTCTTTGTGTGAGTCTCTGGATAGAGAGTAATCTCCTCTTTTATAATATTCTCTTTGTGATTAGTAAAGTTCTCTGTTGTTCTCACCCGTGGACGTAAATCATACTGACCGAACCACATTAAATCATTATGTGCTGTTTTCTATTTGTCCACTCTTGTATAGACATCTTTAGTGTCTGTGAAACCCCTCTGCTGCAACAAATGTAAATGATAATGAGAGGATCAACCACAAAAAGGAGCAAGAAAAAAAAAGAGTAGACCCAAAATATGGGACCAATAAAGGGGACAAGTGAGGTGTCCCCCTCCTATTGGATAGTGAGTTGGCCATCATTAATGATGACTAACTCATTATCCAATAAGAGGAGGACATCTCACTTGTCCCCTCTATTGATCCCATATTTTGGGTCCTTGAAGAATTTTTCCATCCAATGGTCAAAATTGAACAAAAAGCCCACTAAAGAGAATAAGCAATAAATGCATGTGCTTTTTGTATATATATATATATAGAGAGAGAGAGAGAGAGAGAGAGACAATTCAAAAAACAAAACCATCACAAAAAACAGACAATGCCCTTAATAGAAATGATACACGGTCAGAGGACATTCATCATAAAATACAGGAGAAAATTTTTATAGAAGTTTCAAATCAGCTCAACCTTATAATATCTGAACGCTGCAACAGGGGCAGTGTCTATATGTACATGGGTTTGCTTTGGCTATTACATACAAATGTTGATATCTTTCAGTTAACATCGCAAAAAATGACCCCCTATTTCACTTCAGTCAGAAATTATACAGAGTCTACTAGGAACCAGAGTTTGCTGAAGCAAGAACAACAGTTAACAAAAGGGCATCTTCTTCACATTGATCAGACTTCCAAATCTTGAAAGTATCAGTAAAATAGCCACGCTCTCTCCAGGACCTTAGCAAGGACAAAGTAAAAGGCCCCTGTTTATTACCAGAAGGATCTTTATAAAGCCATAGAGCATCATTGCTTTCTATGGTAGCACCCTTTGAGGTCAGTTCGCTTCCTTTGAAGGCATGTTCCATGTTTTCTTCATCGTCATCATCATCCAGAGCAATGATCTCAATTTCTGAAGTCTTTGAGTCCCATGGATGTTTCCTTTCAGCGCCCTTGATATCTGAAACTGGGTCTTCAGTGATTTTGCTCTTTAATTCACTTTCTGCAAATAGAGTTTAGAGCCAGGATGAGTTAAGATTAACTGTAACAAAGAACTCATATATGTCTGCTGAAATCAGTATGGACGTGGATCAAATGCAGGGGAAATGGATATAAATGTATATTGATGATGAGAGAAATGGGAAAAAAAAACCCAGATAAACGGGTCATATAATAGATGAACTATTTAATTACAACATAATATCTCAAATCAGAGCCTGTCAATGGGTCTGCCACACTAGAAGATTTAGTTAGACCCGGATCATGAAAATCGTCTTCAGGTCTAAGTCGAAAATAATTCTAGTTGTTCGATCCTTATAAAACCTCACATATATGTATCCATATCGTACCTCTGTTTACGTTGAAAGTTCGGTCCTTATAGAACAAAGAATCAACTTTGATGGCAATTGAGAATGTCAAAGGTCAAATCTGAGCTAAAATTCAGAATAAATTCATCTACTTTTCTTCTTATGTAGGGATATATTAATAGCTCAAAAAACTAAGAGATCTGCATGTAGTATTCTTTTGCCTGGTTTATTATTATTATTATTTTGTGTTGTTGTTGGGGGGGTTGGTTTGCAAACTACACTAAATGGATCTCCTTACAAATCACTCTAACACCCTATAACCCCTGGGAACTTTGTTTCTTCCACTTAATCTCCCCCCTCCCCCTCACCATGAACTTGTGATGGGTAACATGCCAAGCACATGAGAAACAAAGGATGAGTGGGGTTATATATCAAAGAGGGCATTTTAGCATTAAATGCTGCAGGGCATATGTTGCAAAAACTTCAAAGTTCAGGGACTTAAGTAAGGCACCCCAAGTTCAAGGGGAGTAAGTAGAGAAAACAAAGTTCAAGGGGATTATGTGCAAAACCGCCAAAGTTCAGAGCAGTTAAGTGAAATTTACCCTTTATTGAAGACTAACTGAGTCCAAAATGTATCTCTCTGTGTATGTAAAAAAAGAATGCAAAAGAGTACGTGATTATCCTGCATTGTATATTTGTCATTGTTGTCGGTGTTGTATCCAAAAGTAATAATTTTGTGCAAATAAAATAACGTTATTTGTCTACTTGTCTCATTTGTACTATCTTCATGTTACGTTACTGAAATTCATAGAGATTTTTTTTTCATCTATTATGAGGGAGAACAGGTTTCATGTGCATAGTTGCAAGTAGAAACAAATAGCTGCAACTGCAGTTACAACTTTGATTTTGCATAAATTTAAAGACAAAACCAACAACTGCAGCTTTAGTCGCAACAATCTCAGCTGTATGCAATTGCGGTTGCAAGTTACCAAACACCCCCAAGACAGACCTTCGTAATTTATTCAAATGAAATAAGAAATCTTAACAATGTACTCAATAAGCATAATCACATTCAAATCCAAGACAGCACCGTCAATAAGGTGAAAACACAATGTTATTTGGAGTCACTAAACCGTGAAGGACCAATAAAAGGAAAAGGCAACCCGTAAGATAGGAACGGTTACTAAGCCAGCATGATTTGTTGGTGGACTCCATTCAGACACCAGAAGATAGAACCAACAATAAACTAGCAAATAAGACTGAATACACTTGTAAAAGCATGTTGAAACAGGACCCAGAACTCATTGATCATGTCAGCAGGTTAACTGCAGATTATGAACTCGCATACTCATATTCAAAGGACTGAAAACAAGAAAAAGAAACGAGCTAACACTATAATAAAATGAGAAACAATAGGAAACCAAAAAGCTTACCCAGGATAAGTGGCCTTTGCATGGAGGAATCAACAATACCTGCAAAATAAAGCCTAAACAGTTACATAATTTCTCAAGATAATTACTACATTTAAGTAACTAAAAGTATTAGAAATTTTAATAAACTATTCTTCAAGACCACAGACATTTTCAATGAAATATTTTACCACCTAACTCCATAGCCTACTTAATTAACAATATTCATGAAGTATCAAGAATTTAAATATCAATTCCCAGATATCTGAAATGAGAGATATCATCTGTATTAAGAAAAGTGATACAAAAAATGATTTAAAGAAACCTTCAAATGAAATGAAAGCAGAAATATAGTCACAAAGCAGAAATATAGTCACATGGCCATCATAGGGGACCGTACCAAGTGCAAGGTATTGGATGACGAGAGCTAATATTGAAACAATACAAAGTATAAACAATAAACATAGGTGGTGCCGGTAATCAAGATAATTGCAAGTGTTGCCATGGTGATTTTCTGAAGAGGAAGGATAGGGTGCCAAAGGATCTAGCATTCTCAATCTGAATTCATGTATATTTCTCTACATTCATCTGACAAAATTAGGACATCTAAGTTTATCTTTTGGAGATATTGCATGCATGAATGTTAGAAATCCAGCTGGGAAAATGGTAGGAAAAATCATCATGGCCTATGAAATAATTGTTGACATGAGATAAAATAACATAAACAAATAAGAGAGGAAACAAAAGCTAAAACACTAAAAAGAGCTAAAATTAGCTAAAAATTGTTAGGTAAAATAAAAGTCAAAGACCCTGTCACTACACCAAAACTCTGAAGTTGCGGTGATGGTTGAGGGTTATAACTTTATACTCTCCGGCAAACCCACTTACTTTTCAAGGCCCTTTTTATCCCTTGACAGTGTGACCAGTTCGTACGTATTGTTCTCTTGAAAAGACTCCATCTCTTCTGGCAAGGCTTTCATCCAGGCTTCCTTGGTTTGGTCGCTCATTATCTCGGAGTAACAGCGAGGATCCCCTACATTAGTATGTGATACATACTCATTTAATGCGTATTTTTTGAAGGCTCAGTGCTCCCTAGTCTATTACAGTTTTGAGCGTACTTCAACATTGAGCACTCTCCTTTAGTCCCACATAGGAAAATGAGAAAGAATTTCAAGTGTCTAAAACTGATGTCTCATTCTTAGTGTGTTGAATGAGCCTCGAACTTGAGGGGCCCTCGCATGCACATAATCCCAATAAAGCCCAAAACTAGAAATTGGGCAACCAGATCTAGAAAAATTTAATGTGCATGTGAGCCCGCATCGCGCCCACTGGGAGGTGCAAATCTGGGTTTTGGAGCCTCACGAGTGTGAACTGAGCTTAGTTTTGTAATTTTTATTTTTTGGATATTTGACCAAAACTCTCTCCAAATCTCACTCTAGTCTACACAAGATTATTCTCTCTGCTCAAAATATTATGATTACTGTCCCAGTAACTAAGTCTTTCTTTGCCTAAAGAGAACTAGCCATTTCTTCCCATCACAAGAGATATTGTAACTATCCAAAAAAAATCTTTGCAGATCCATTTTCTCTATAAAACCTGAACCAATCTCGTCTGAGAAATACACAGAAAAATAGCAAGCTTTCTTTTCTAAAACCCCTCTTAAACTCTTGTGTCCTCTTAGTTGTTAAAGAAGAAACAACGCGGAGCTGTTCAAAGGCCACAGCATTGCGAGTGCATGTTTGCTTGGCAAACTATTGTTGAATCCTAGAGCGTAGGCAGCTATCAACCTGCTGTACTGGAAGATATTCTCTGATGGGCAAAATCTACTCTTAAGGACAGTGCATTCGCACATCTTGATCACACCGAGAAGTTTCCTTTTTATCTTGAAAACTTATTTGTAGTTTCATAGTAGTAATCCTAGATAATTTTCCAACAATCTAAAAAGTAGATTAACATGGATATTGGCATATTGCCATGGTTGTTTCTGCTATTAAGTCTCTACCTGACATTTTTAAAATTAAACATTTCAATGGAACTCACTTTAAAGATACCAAGAAAGAGTTTTTTCCTACCCTAGATGTCTCTAGCTATACTTTTGCTATAATTTGATTCTAACCCAAAAAAGAAGACGACCTCCAGAAATACGAAAATGCTAAAAAAATTTGTAGACATTGTTCTAAGCACCTTAAGTAATGAGCTGTTTGATGTTTACTTTGATATTTACTGTCCTTACAAAACCACGGCTGAAATTTGGTAAGTCTTAACGAGAAATATCTTCTTGACGATGCTGGAATTCAAAATTTTGTAATTGAAAACTTTCGAAATATTTTAATGTTTGATGAAAAGGATATCTCATCCTAAAGTCATGAATACCATGTGTTAATTGATGACCTTAAAAATGAAAACATCACTTTACCTTAAGCTTTTGTTAGTGGAGCCTTAATTGAAAACCTATTCGAGTCTGAAAAGATTATAAGAAAGAACTAATACACAAGAGGAAACCAACGAGTCTTGAAGATATAATTCACATCTGAATTGAAGAAAAAAACAAACAAAGAGAGGAAACAGAGAAAGCCAAGGAAATTGTTTCCAAGGCAAATCTAATTGAAAGTGGTTCTTCTAAGCCTAACAACTTTTTCACAAGAATAACAACAAATTAAAATAGAACCCAAGAATTTCCACAAGACTAAAAGTAACCCTAACTCGGCTTTGAAAAAGGAAATCTGTTCCGTGTGAGGCAAGTCCAGCACTACTCTGCACAATGTAGATATTGGAAGACTAGTGAAGCTCCCTCTAAAACACAAGTAAACATAGGGGAGGGAGATATTATTGTTGCGGTGGTCTATGAAGCTAACATGATTGCGCATAACAAAAAGTGGGTGTTTGATTCCTACGCAACCCAACATATGTGCCGATAGAGGAGCTTTCTGTTGTGCACAGCGAAAATTTTAGCAGCATCCCTGATGCTCGACAAGAGTAGATCTCAACTAAATCCCTGTTTCACAAAGAAACTAGAACCGAAAGCAAAATATCTCAACAAAGTGGTATATTAGCTCTTCCTCTCATCAGTTCTAGGACTGACCTAACGAGGAAACTTAAACTCTCTATTACAAATTACGACACGAACAATCAATTTTAACGTGGTTCGGCAAGTTGCCTACGTCCACGGGGCAATGAGGGGGATCTACTATTAGAGAAAGAGAATACAAATGGGTTTACAATCACACAAATTAAACCCTCAAACTAACTCTCAAATCTCTCACAAAAGAGCAGCCGTCAACACCCGAAGAAAGCCACCAAAACCCAAAAGGACAGCCACCACTTTCTGCCCCCGCGAACTTCCCTTGTACGTCGCTTTTTCCCACGCCGTCCTTGCACCACACCCCTCTGCTCTTGCACACATAGCACAAAACACTAGGCACGAGTATTTATAGGAGAACGAAATTGGGTGGGCCATACTCGCATGCTGCATCTCCTGTCCATGGTAGCCCCCACGTTCAAAAAACTGTTCACATGAAATCTCATGCACGGATTCACCTGGGTTGCTGCTCAATGTTGTGGCCCTCACCCGATATATCTTTTCACGTGGTTTTGCAGCAGCTTGACATGCTCAATTTTGTGGCCCCCACCCGATATATCTTTTCACGCAGTTTTGCAGCAGCTTGACATGGGTGGGCCCCATGTCAACGTCTCATTCATAATTCTTTACATCGGCGAAGTTTTCCCAAAACTAAGCTGACACCAACCAAAACAAATGTCTTAATTGTTGCGTTCAGTACGAAGTGAAACAATTCACGACAACGGACTCAATCCACAATAAGTCGAGACCCAAACGAGAATGCGAACACTCTCCAAATGTCGACATCAACTCTCCAAATGTCGACATCAACTCACCAAATCGGCTGCATCATAAAGACTGCCTACGTATCCTTTTGCCCAATGAATCAAGCATCACATAGTTCATCATAATGACCGCGAACGACCTCAATCCAATAAAAGAGTTCGTAACTCTCCTCCAATATCATCAACACTGCGGCTGATAGCACCTCCAATGGCCTCAAAGTGTAACGAATCAAACACCTCTACCTGAGGTGAACTAATGGTTATATCCAAACTACATCTATCAGCTGCACTCGAATCAAAATCCAACTCATCATCTGCATCCAAAAACAAATGATCTCCAAACCGTGTTACCTCAGTTGGAGTCTCAAACGATGCAGTATGATCTGGAGTATGTGGAGTAATCTCCGCCCATTGTGAAATAACATCACTCTCCACCCGCTGCGATACATCTAAGGTCTGTCCAAAACTCTCCACCTGCTGAGAGTCAATTAGCTCCCTCATCGAAACCTCAACCGAAGTGATACTACCAGACCAAACACCCAATTGAGTTTTACCTCCTATCAAAGTAGTTGGCAACTCTTTAATAGGATGGCTCGGATATGTCGAAGCCTCAGTCCAGAAACTCTTCTGCAGACCATTGCTTGACAACAAACACTAATCCTCCTTCAGCAAGGTACGGTTCTCCAAATTTTCCACCCTATCTAGTTGTCCCAAGATTTTTTTTCCAACAAAGTGTCTCGAAATACCGTGAGCTCGGCTCCAATATAGAAACAAGTCCATCTTGTACCTCCTACCAAAACCTGAATGAAGTACATTCACCTTTCTGTCAATCTCACACTTCTTCAATCTGTTGGAGACTATTAGGACTTTATCCAAAGGGAATTTGGTTGCAACCCAAACACGCCTATAACAGCCACCAATAAAGAAAACCAAACATCTATTTCCTCCAAATGATGCCTCCTTGAAAAGCTCCCAAATATCCATGTGAACCCCATCTGAAAGACCTTCCGTGCAGTGAATAGAGATGTCAAACTTCACATCGGTCTTCTTGCTCACATCAAAGTGTTCACTGGATTTCGAATTATAGGTCGATGCACCCATCTTCAAATAAAAACTGGAATGACCAAGCCCCAAATACCGCAGTCCAGTCGAATCAATAGAAGTCGTCAGCTCTCCACTATCGCCGTATCTCCAATCAAATAGTACAGGTTATTTCTCCT